GGGTGTCTTTGCTTCGACGACATGCGTGTGTCCCCTCAGCTGCCCTCTGGTGAGATGCAACTGTTTTCCCAACCCAGAGCAAAGCATCTCGTCCCCAGCCGGGCTGGGAGAGGAGCAGGGATTTTTGTGCATCAACCCCCTAGACCCCATGTTCCCTCAGCTGCCGGCTTGGTCCCCGTGCCCAGCACCCCGCTCCACACCTCCAGCAGCACATTTTGGGGTGCAAAGCATCTTCCCATGCTACGCAGCTGCTTTCCCGCCGGATCCCTGTTTTCCCAACCCAGAGCAAAGCATCTCGTCCCCAGCCGGGCTGGGAGAGGAGCAGGGATTTTTGTGCATCAACCCCCTAGACCCCATGTTCCCTCAGCTGCCGGCTTGGTCCCCGTGCCCAGCACCCCGCTCCACACCTCCAGCAGCACATTTTGGGGTGCAAAGCATCTTCCCATGCTACGCAGCTGCTTTCCCAGGCTGGATCCGACCCGCCTGGCCCCGCGCTCTGCTTTGCTGACAGCTGGCACGCGGAGGGGATGTGCAACGGGACCACGTGGCCCATGAAAAAATCCCCAACCCTATTCCCAAAGCATCCCAGAGGCATTTGACACCATCGCCTTGAACATCAATTCCTCCCTCCACGGGGGAAAAGAGCCACCCCAAAGCCTCTGGCAGAGCTCCTGCCATCCCCCAGCCAAACTCTCCCGGAGCCAGGGACCTTCCCGCATCTCCCAAACCACTTCCCGGCGCAGGCAAGGTGAGTAAATATTTAATAAGGAATAAATGATTAATTGGAACTTGCAAAGAGAAGCTGGGTTACAGGGGCCTCTCTTCCCCGAGCTGATGCTTATAAATGAGCGTGCCACGGATCTCGGGATCATTTGCTACATCATCAGCTGCTAAATAGTTTGAAATCATTGTGCAGATCTCTAAAACATGTTATTATTAGAATAACAAGCCGCCTTCTCTCTGTGAACTTTCCCAAGCGTTCCCAGCTTATCACCTATTGATTACAACATTATTAAGGTATTTATTACCATAAGGGGTTGCAGGGAGGATTTTCCTCCTGCCAAAGGCTTGGAGGGGACCCCTCAGTGCTGCTTCCCTGCGTGGTGGGACCCCACTCCTCCCATGTCAGGGGGTGCAGGGGTGATGGGACCCTTCCCATGGGATTTTGGGGGGTTTGCACATAGGGAGACTTGCACAGATATTTATTTCCCACCTCTGGATATACCCCCAGGATGGTTTCTGACCCCCAGCACTAATCAAAGGGATCCCCCAAGGTTGAGAAGGAGCTCAGCCTTGCAGTGGAGATGGCTGGGACCTCCTGGGGTATCTTCTTCCCCGTGGCGTCACCCTTATTCCCGTGGGAAAAGGCCGGGGCTGGCAGGAGGCGCGTGGGAGGGCAGGCAGCGTGGCAAGCGCTCGGCGGAAGAGCCTTCCCTGCCTGCCTCCTGCCTGATTTCTACTTCCAGTGTGCGATTTCAATCAAAGATTTTAATAATCATTTTCCCCGCACATAATACAGCCCTGTCTTGGAGTGCTGGGGAATAATTATATACACAAAAAGGGAAAGAGGAAGGGAGGGAGAGTGGGAGTGGAGAAACTGGTAAAACAGCATCCTGAATCAAACGGACATCTGGAATGACAGCCTTCAGGTGGGAACTGCTCCCGGGAGCCAGGAACGGTGCCTGAACCAGGGCCTGGTCCCAGGTCGCATCCCCAGGGATGGGCCAGTGGAGCGGGGCTGCCCTGGGGTCCCCCACTGAAGCCTCCCCCTGGAGCAGCCCGCAATCCCGCTGAGTCTGGGACTCAAAATCTCTGCTGAAGCAGGGACAACCTGGGAGAAAAGCCCTATGTGAGCCAGAGCCAGCTGTGCCTGGAGCTGGCGAGTGGTTTCAGAGCAGGAATCATCCCTGGGTGAAAGCCCTCGTGCCCACACAGGGGTTTTGATGGCTTCGGGCATTGTTTTTTGTCAAGGTGGTTATGACCTGTCTGCTTCTTCCAGACCTGCAAAGTCCTGGTACCCAGCTCCTCTTGCAAGGAGAACCTGGAAGGAGTAGGTCCAGCATCACCCAGTGAAGGTTTTCTGGCTCCGCAGGTGCCTCTGGTGCAGCAGGATTGGGTGCACCGCTGCCCTCACCGAGCACATCCAGCCCCCTGCCCCAACCCACCGGCAAAGCGCCAAGCAGAGGAGGTGGCCGCAGGGATGGACATTTCCAAAGCCTCCTTGGCATCTCCATTGGAGAATACACCAGATTCACAAGTGCCAGGGCCCCGCGGGCACTAATGGGCTTTAATGACCCCGAGCAGCCCCTCCTAGGACCCCTCCCCATGTGCCCATTTAGGCTCGGGGCCATCAGTCCCTGCCTGGGGCTGCAGGGCTGCCTGTCCCCAGCCTTGTCCCCATGTCCTGGCCCTCACCGTCAGCCGAGGAAGAGCATCACTACGTGCAAGGTAGACAATCACAAGGGCTTATTTTTTTTTTTTACTTCTTTCACCAATATCCTAGAGCTTATGATTTGCCAGCCTGGTGTCTACCACATACTTTTCTGGGTGGGCTTGAAAGAGATTTCAGCATAACGTGCTCCCATCGAGCTTGCTCTGAGTGATCCAGAAGACAAGGGGTTGAATTTCCAAAGCCTTTAATGCCCAACATCTGCTTGGTTTGGGGAAAACCAGACCTCTGGTTCTTTGGAGTCACCAGAGCCCAGTTTAGCCTGGTTGGACTGGTGTGTTTTAGCTCCTGAGCCTGCTCTTGTACTCGGTCTTATGCTGCTTTGTATAAATTCAGCTAATTGCTGCAAAGTTATATGGGTATGTTGTAGGAGTTGAGAGTGGTTGAAGTTTAGGACCCACCTCGTGGCTGGCTCTACGCTGACCTGGCCATGTTGTCCCATGATGTGAGGGGCTCTTCCAGGGCAGCTATGGACACAGCCTGGGAGGTCACTGGTGCTTAGGGATGTGCCAGCTCCATGGAAAAATAATCTCCAGGCCTCAGTGCTTCCCAGCAACATCTGGAGAAGCCACCTCATGGGGCATGGACCCCCTCCCTGCCACAAGAGCAGGGTGTCCCTGGGGTGAGGGGCAGAGGGTGGGCGTCCTCTGGCCACCCTCTGCTCCTCAAAGCACAGGAACCTGCTGCCCTCAGCTCTTCCACCCTCCAACGTTAGTCCTCCTCCTTTAAGCCTGCTTCCCAAAACATGTCCACAGGGAATGCCGAGAGCCCTTTACCCCTCCCCTGTGTCCTCAGGCCACCTACTCCTCTTCTCTGCTCCGAGACAGGCTGGTACAACCTGACTTGGGCAGCCTACCAAGGATGCTGCAGGGATGCTCAAGGTCCTTCTGGCCTCAAGAGCTGGACGGGGACCTTGTGGAGCCACTCGAAGCTTGGTGGGAAGCACAACCCGGCCTCAGCTGTGAACCGGTCAGAGACTTGTCCCATCCCGGTAGTCCTTATCCCTCCACATCCTCGGCAGGAGGGATGCTCGTATGATCGTGGTGGTCCCACCTGGCCTTAAATCCATAGGCTCAATAAAAGGGGCCAATTGCCATCATCCTCACTTTAAAAGCCTCTTTAAGCTCCTGGAGGAGTATGAAGTGAGCTCAGGCTAAATGGAAAATAGCTCTGCCTCCCAATTATTACTATTATGACTGTTTTTAATCATCAGAGATTTGTGGAATGGGTTTTGGGCTCCCCCCGTTGGTGTTGCAGGAATCGGGGGGGGCTTTTTGCTTTGGGTGGCCGGGTTTGCTTTCTGCTGCAGGAAGGACCCGCAAAGCCATGAGAGAAAGGAAAATCTCTAGGGATGCCATGGCCAGGTCGAGCCCTCGCGGGGACCCAGTGGGGTGGCATGGTGGGATGTGGCATCCCCCCGGTGCTGGCTTTCCCGGCGGGACGGCCTCCCTAAAAATCTCCCGGACCGAGCGGAGCCATCCCAAAGGAGGACGCTGCATCCCAGGGGATGCTTCAGGCTGGAAGATGTCACCTCCCTGACCACGGCCACGTCCGTGCTGAGGATGACGTTGGTCCGCCTGCATCAGCGCTCTCTCGGTGGCACCCAAATGTCACCGATCCACGCAGGGCTGCTCCATGGTGGCCCCATGGCAAACCCCCCACCAATTTCTGCCCTACCTGGGGGGAGACAAAGTTTCGCACGGCTCTGGATATAACCCCATGCTTGGCTCAGGCCACGGAGAGGATGCAAACGCCCGCCTGCCCTATTGCAAAAGCAAGCTGCCACGCCGTGCTCGAGGCTAACCGCACGCTTTCCGTCCACCATTTCCCCCGTCGCCTGCGGAGATGTCCTAAATTACCAGCCCCATCCAGATTCCCCTTCCTCTCCACCTTGGAGATGTGTGGCCCAAACACTGGAGCCACAGAAATATTAAATTCCCCACCCAACCGACTCTGCCGTGCCTCCTCACGGGGAGGAAACTCCAACTACACTTTGTATGTGTATATATATAATTTTTTTTTTTTGCAGGAGCAATGGACCCTGACAGCCAGGCTACGGGACAGCCAGTCATTTTGGCCCCCTGCCCGCCCTGTGGACCCCCCCTCATCGCACCCAGGGCTGATGCCATATTTTTGGTGCTCCCTGCAATGCCAGAGGGACCCACCATCCCCTCTCCATCCACTTCCCCGGAAAACACCCCCCAAGCTTCCCCCCAAGGCAAAGCTGCCTGTGGCACGGTGCCGATGGCACTGGCTCCCCCAGCCCCGGTGTGTGACCCCACGGTGCTTCTCCCACCACCAGCACCCGCAGGGCCGGTGCTTCGGCCAGGCCCCCTAACCCCGAGCAAACCCTGGTGTCAAGGTCAAGAGCAATTTTGCAAAGCGTGTCTATTTTTTTCTCCCCCCTCTTTTTGAAAATCCTATTGCACACCTGATGGGTTGCGGGTGCTGAGCTGGCCCCGGAGGCAGGGGTCAGGCAGGGGGACGGGGACAGGGCACCCCCATTTGGGGCCAGCAGCAGGGATGCGATGGCACCCTGGGGTTTTCCTACCTCCCGGAGCTCCTTGGCCACCTCCTTGAGCTCCTGTAAGATGCCTTCCAGTTGCCCGATCACCATTTTCATCTGACTCCGGATCCTTTCCCTTTCACAATTACTCTTGCTGCTGCTACAATTGCTGCTGCTGCTGCTGGGGTGGTCACTGGGCTGCCTGTCCTGGCAGGTCCGGGAGTCCATCCTTCCCTACCGGCCTCGGTTCCTGGCCCCAACGGCTCTGTCCATCCTGCTCCCCTCTAGCCGGGTGGCCTGGCGTCCGCGCAGCCCCTCTCGGCCGGGGAGCTTTCAACATCTTAACGTTCCCCTGCCTCCAAGAAAGTCCCAGCCGCACGCTCGCCTCCCTGCGAGGTCGGGGGGCTCCGGTTCGGAGCGGGGAGCAGGGTCGGGATGCACCATGCGGAGTCGGGAGCACTGCAGAGGGGGCTCAGCCGGTGGCCGTGGGGAGATGTGGGGTGGCCATGGGGCGAACGGAGGAGGCAAGCACTGCCTGGTCAGGCGAGCGGGAGGAGGAGGAGGAAGAGGAAGAGTCCCTTGGATGTCCCAGGAAGCTAAAATCCAGCAGCTCACGCCTTGCCTGCTCCCCAATGCCTGGCAGGGGGACGCAGGGCTGGGTGTTCCTGGGGAGCGATGCTGCTCCCCGCGTCGGGCCCTCGCTCCAGGGTTGCCAGCTCCAATGCTGGGTGGTGGGGGTCTCCCAGCTGAGCACAGGCGTCCTGGGAAGCCCAGGATCCCCTCCTGCAAGGACAGACAGACAGACAACGTGAGGGAGCCAGCCCTTCCAGAGCCAGAAAGCTGGGGGGGGGGGGGGGGGGGGTACCCCCCCCCCTCCCGCCCCGC